CTGCGCACATCTATATTTCCATATGACAAGGTTTCACAGTCTTCATACCAGCCTATTATTTATCAGAATGAAATTATGATTTGTTAGATACCAAATATGATACGTTCACGGCGTATCTTTGTTCTAGGGCACGGCTGTCAAACTGGCGGCCACTCCAGCTGTTGCCAAACTACAAGTCCCATGAGGCATTGCAAGATTGGCAGTTACAAGCGTGACTCCCAAAGGCAGAGGCATGATGGGACTTGTAGTTTCACAACAGCCAGTTTGACACCCCTGTTCTAGGGGGTCTAATGTTTCCTACTAGCCTTCTGGACTTTAGTCTCTACATTTGTGTAACAACTTTTAGGAAGGTAACTCTATTCAAGTAGGAATTATGGAATGGTATAAAAGTTTGAAGCTGGGAGTCCAGCTATTGGTCAGCATAGATCAATACGCCAGACTCACAAATTCTTAAACTGCGCGCCAGGCCCCGTGCTAGTTAGGGTTTATGAAGCCAGAAATTCTTTGTGGGGGAGACTTGTGGTGCCGCTCAAGGCTCAGTACAGGTAAAAGTCACCCCACCGGCAGAGGAAGAAGAGGGGAGCACCTTTCCCAGGTTATTCCACAGAGGCCTCTGCGACCAGGGGCCCGGGGTCAATAGGGGCCCCCATGAAATGCCCCTGCTACCTTTTTTTATAGGCTTTTTTGAGTGTGGGCAAGGACACAGGGGCCCCATGATCCCCTGTTGCCTGGGGGCCCCATGAGTTGTCAGTCCGCCCCTGGTAGGTTCAAATCAGGGGCGGACTGACCATTTGGAAACTTGGGCACTGCCGAGGGCCTGGGGTCAGTAGGGGGCCCCTTGAGATGCCCCTGCTATCTTTTTTTATAGGCTTTTTTGAGTGTGGGCAAGGACACAGGGGCCCCATGATCCCCTATTGCCCGGGGGCCCCATGAGCTGTCAGTCCGCCCCTGGTAGGTTCACACCAGGGGCGGACTGACCATTTGGAAACTCGGGCACTGCCTGAGGGCCTGCAGTCAGTAGGGGGCCCCATGAGATGCCCCTGGTACCTTTTTCATAGGCTTTTTTGAGTGTGGGCAAGGACACAGGGGCCCCATGATCCCCTGTTGCCCGGGGGCCCCATGAGTTGTCAGTCCACCCCTGGTAGGTTCAAACCAGGGGCGGACTGACCATTTGGAAACTCGGGCACTGCCCGAGGGCCTGGGGTCAGTAGGGGGCCCCATGAGATGCCCCTGGTACCTTTTTCATAGGCTTTTTTGAATTTGGGCAAGGACACAGGGGCCCCATGATCCCCTGTTGCCCAGGGGCCCCATGAGTTGTCAGTCCGCCCCTGTCTGCGACCAAGGCCCAATGAGTGGGGCAAAACGCGTCAGTGGCCATGGCTGGAGCGGCGGCTGAGGCCATCTACAACATGCCATCATTGTTTGACTGCGGGGATTGGTTATGAGCGGCGTCCGCTTCTTCATATGCCATGAATTCCTTGGTTGCTTAGCACACACAGGAGGTTTTAATTTGTCCTTCCTATTAATTATTGGCATTGTGTTTAGAACCACTTCCCCATTCTCTCGCACAGCTTGGGGCTGCATTAATTTTATTATTTCGGGCTTTTTTTCAGGCTTTTTTTCTGTTGTTTTTACATGTTGATCCTGGCAGTAACACACTTCCTGTCGTGGAGTGACAACGCTCACTCGCTGCACTATTTCTGTGAAGGATCAGGGTTGTCACCCCAGGCTGCTCTGATCTAGACTGCAAACACCTCCTCCCAGGGGCGCACTGCCCATTTGAAAATTCGGGCACTGCCGAGGGCCCGGGGTCAGTACGGGGCTCCATGAGATGCCCCTGGTACCTTTTTCATAGGCTTTTTTGAGTTTGGGCAAGGACACAGGGGCCCCATGATCCCCTATTGCCCGGGGGCCCCATGAGTTGTCAGTCCGCCCCTGCCTCCTCCATTCTTCATCTCCAATAAACAGAGGGGGGGGGTTTGTTTAGTTGTTAAGGGGTACAACGCACCCCGGGCATAGGCGTGCGTTTGCGTGATTTCCACATGTTCCCATGCATTGCCTGTAGGGCAGCCCATCCATTCCTTTGGCCTGCATACAGGCGGGAAATGTGCAAAAGAAGTCCTCAACACTTTTCCAAAAACATGTCACATACTAGCACATTATGAAAGACTTACCTTAGAACAAAGCCCCCCCAGCGTCACGCTGTCACCGCTGTCACCGCTGACCGGGCTTCCACCTTCACCTGGTCTTCTGCGCTGTTTGATTGGCCATGCCGCGATGACGTCACTCCTGCACACATGCTCTGTCCGCTGTTGCATAGAGCTCCGGCATTGGTATTCCGTTCCTTCGGTGCACAAGCGCCATGACGTCACCGGCTGCAGGGGCTCTGAATATTTCCTGGACGGTGCACATGTAGGAGATATTCCTTGTACCACCCATAGGTAAGCTTTGTTATACTCCTGCTAAAGGGTAGAGCGTTTCTGTGTGTCAGAAAAGCATGGGATTTTATGCGTGTTCCTGACATGCAAAAGTGTGAACTAGGGGCGGACTGACAACTCATGGGGCCCCCGGGCAACAGGGGATCATGGGGCCCCTGTGTCCTTGCCCAAATTCAAAAAAGCCTATGAAAAAGGTACCAGGGGCATCTCATGGGGCCCCCTACTGACCCCAGGCCCTCGGGCAGTGCCCGAGTTTCCAAATGGTCAGTCCGCCCCTGGTTTGAACCTACCAGGGGCGGACTGACAACTCATGGGGCCCCCGGGCAACAGGGGATCATGGGGCCCCTGTGTCCTTGCCCACACTCAAAAAAGCCTATGAAAAAGGTACCAGGGGCATCTCATGGGGCCCCCTACTGACTGCAGGCCCTCAGGCAGTGCCCGAGTTTCCAAATGGTCAGTCCGCCCCTGGTGTGAACCTACCAGGGGCGGACTGAAAGCTCATGGGGCCCCCGGGCAATAGGGGATCATGGGGCCCCTGTGTCCTTGCCCAAACTCAAAAAAGCCTATGAAAAAGATACCAGGGGCATCTCAAGGGGCCCCCTACTGACCCTAGGCCCTCGGCAGTGCCCAAGTTTCCAAATGGTCAGTCCGCCCCTGGTTTGAACCTACCAGGGGCGGACTGACAACTCATGGGGCCCCCAGGCAACAGGGGATCATGGGGCCCCTGTGTCCTTGCCCACACTCAAAAAAGCCTATGAAAAAGGTACCAGGGGCATCTCATGGGGCCCCCTACTGACCCCAGGCCCTCGGGCAGTGCCCGAGTTTCCGAATGGTCAGTCCGCCCCTGGTTTGAACCTACCTTACAGAAGAGAGCTGGAAAAGCCAGTAACATTGATACTTCAGCTCAGCTCACAGGAAGTTACAAAAGGCACTAGATTACTGGCAGGATCAACCAGAAATATTCTGTACCAGGGGCGGACTGACCATTTGGAAACTCGGGCACTGCCCGAGGACCCGGGGTCAGTAGGGGGCCCCATGAGATACCCCTGGTACCTTTTTCATAGGCCTTTTTGAGTGTGGGCAAGGACACAGGGGCCCCATGATCCCCTATTGCCCGGGGGCCCCATGAGTTGTCAGTCCACCCCCGTTCTGTACTGGCAGAAAATTGACTTACTGATAGGGTCACCTATAAGGAAAAAAGCCTGAAAAAGAGAAAAACTAATGCAGCAAGTACATCTAAGGACCGGTGAGTTGCAATAAGTTACATTTTTATTTTGGGGTTTAGATACTTTAACATGTTACAAAAATTGTAACAAAAAAAAAAAAAAAAAAAAGTCACCATCTTACAGCTCTGAATACATATATATGCACTTTCAGGAGATTTGCAATAATAGCCTTTTACACAAATATTTGTAGATGATATATATTCTTTTTTTTTTCATATCTGAGAACTACTGTATGGTGATATCTGCTGATCATAACCCGCGATAGGATATTATGCTGAAGGGTCTAAATAAAGAGAAATACTATTACCCCAAACTGTCTGAATGTATTATTTCTTGCCTTTTACATACAAAATACATTCTTTTGGACTCGTTTTATTATAATACACTCTAGCTCAGGGGTGCTCAACCTTTGAGGAGCGAGGGCCACTTGGTTACCGGTCGCGGGCCACAATGAAATGAAATGGTTTAGAATTTACAATTTTTTTTATTTTGAAAATCATAAGGGCTTGTCTTTGACTTTAACACACACATGTGAACCTATTATTATTATTACACAGGATTTATGGCGCCAATAGTTTGCTCAGCACTTTACAATATAATGGGAGACAATACAGCAACAATACAGTTCAATACAAGAGGGATAGGAGGGCCCTGATCCTGGGAGCTTACAATCTAAGAGGGAGGGGCTAGTGGTACAAAAGGTAGTAACTGTGGGGGATGGACTGGGAGGAGGAATAGAAGATTCCATTATTAACTGAGGGCGGGATAGGCTTCCCTGAAGAGATCGTTTTCAGAGATCACCTAAAAGTGAGCAGAGTAGGTGATAGTCTGATAAATTGGGGTAGAGAGTTCCAGAGGATGGGGGAGGCTCTGGAGATGAGCATGGGAGGAAGAGACAAGGGAGCTAGAGTACAGGAGGTCGTGTGAGGAGCGGAGAGGACGGTTTGGGTGATGTTTGGAGATAAGATTGGTGATGTAATTTGGGGCGGAGTTATAAATGGCTTTATATGTTATTGTTAATGTTTTTAATTTTATTCGTTGGGCAATGGGAAGCCAGTGGAGGGATTGGCAGAGAGGGGTGGAGGACACTGAGTGGAGGCCAGTGGAGGGATTGGCAGAGAGGGATGGAGGACACTGAGTGGAGGCCAGTGGAGGGATTGGCAGAGAGGGATGGAGGACACTGAGTGGAGGCCAGTGGAGGGATTGGCAGAGAGGGGTGGAGGACACTGAGTGGAGGCCAGTGGAGGGATTGGCAGAGAGGGATGGAGGACACTGAGTGGAGGCCAGTGGAGGGATTGGCAGAGAGGGGTGGAGGACACTGAGTGGAGGCCAGTGGAGGGATCGGCAGAGAGGGGTGGAGGACACTGAGTGGAGGTCAGTGGAGGGATCGGCAGAGAGGGATGGAGGACACTGAGTGGAGGTCAGTGGAGGGATCGGCAGAGAAGGATGGAGGACACTGAGTGGAGGTCAGTGGAGGGATCGGCAGAGAAGGATGGAGGACACTGAGTGGAGGTCAGTGGAGGGATTGGCAGAGAAGGATGGAGGACACTTAGTGGAGGTCAGTGGAGGGATTGGCAGAGAGGGATGGAGGACACTGAGTGGAGGGATTGGCAGAGAGGGGTGGAGGACACTGAGTGGAGGGAAGTGGAGGGATTGGCAGAGAGGGGTGGAGGACACTGAGTGGAGGTCAGTGGAGGGATTGGCAGAGAGGGGTGGAGGACACTGAGTGGAGGTCAGTGGAGGGATTGGCATAGACGGATGGCAGATATGGAACGGTTAGTAAGGTGGCTCTGCTGACCCTCACCCACCCAGTAGTACCCCCAGCTCTGCTGACCCCTCACTTAGTAGTAGCCCAAGCTCTGCTGACCACTCACTCAGTAGTAACCCCCAGCTCTGCTGATCCCTTACTCAGTAGTAACCCCCAGCTCTGCTGATCCTTCATTCAGTAGTACCCCCAGCTCTGCTGATCCCGCACTCAGTAGTAACCCCCAGCTCTGCTGATCCTTCATTCAGTAGAACCCCCAGCTCTGCTGATTCCTCACTCAGTAGTAACCCCCAGCTCTGCTGATCCTTCATTCAGTATTACCCCCAGCTCTGCTGATCCCGCACTCAGTAGTACCCCAGCTCTGCTGACCCCTCACTCAGTAGTACCCTCAGCTCTGCTGACACCCTCACTCAGTAGTACCCCCAGCTCTGCTGACCCCTCACTCAGTAGTACCCCCCAGCTCTGCTGATCCCCCACTCAGTAGTACCCCCAGCTCTGCTGACACCTCACTCAGTAGTACCCCCAGCTCTGCTGATCCCCTCACTCAGTAGTACCCCCAGCTCTGCTGACCCCACACTCAGTAGTACAACCAGCTCTGCTGACCCCTCACTCAGTAGTAACCCACAGCTCTGCTGCACTATACAGCCCACCCCTGTGTTGTTTCTCCTCTAGAATGGAAAGAAAGATACATTGTATCTTTGTCTCCTTGCTAGAGGAGAAAAAATGTAAACCAAGAAAATGTAAAAAAAAAAATAGCTAGCTCAAAGTTTGAACAGTGTCAGGGTGGAAGGTCAGGGTCAAGATCAGTGTGCTTTAGGTAGAATTAAAAAAAGAAAAGAAAAACATGTTTAAATTGAGTATCAGGCTGGGTTCACACTAATGCGGTGCGGTACATTGCATGTGATTCGCAGAGGAACCGCACCACATTCCTGTACACATCACATGTGATTTGTGTGCGGTGCGATCGGAGCCGTACATTTTGTATGGCTCAAATTGCACCACACCCGCACCAAAAACATGCAGGACCCTTTTTTGGGTCCGCACTACAATCGGATTGCATGGGTATTCACACCCAGGGGTGGACTGACCATTTGGGAACTCGGGCACTGCCCGAGGGCCCGGGGTCAGTAGGGGGCCCCAAGAGATGCCCCTGGTACCTTTCGTAGGCTTTTTTGGGTGTGGTTTGAGTGTGAGCAAGGACACAGGGGCCCCGTGATCCCCTATTGCAGGGGGCCCCATGAGTTGTCAGTCAGCCCCTGTTCACACCTATGCGATCTGATTCTGCACATCGCACTGCATTTTGCAGACCAATTTCGGGGCTTTGTTAACATACACACCCGCAGCAGTTCTCATGAACGAAATTTGAGGGGTAAAATGGTTTGCTTTGAGGGGGGATTTGGGGAGGGAGATGACTTGTGTTAGGAGGGGGTAAATTGGGGAGGGAGAGGATTTGTGTTTACGAGGGGGGGAAAAAGGGGAGGGAGAGGATTTGTGTTTGAGGGAAAAATTTGGGGAGGGAGAGGATCTGAGATGGGATTTGGGGAGGGAGAGTATTTGTGATGGGAGAGGGGAATTTATGCTCAGAGGGGAAATTTGAGGGGTAAATGATGATTTGTGCTAGGAGGGTGGATTTTTAGAGGGGAGAGGATCTGTGTTAGGGGGGATTTTGAGAGGGAGAGGATGTGAGCTGGAAGGGCTTAGGGAGGGAGAGGATTTGTGCTAGGAGGGGGGGATATGGCGAAAAAGGATTTGTGTTAGGAGGGGGGATTTGGGGAGGGAGAGGATTTGTGCTGGGGAGGAAATTGGGAAGGGATAGGATTTGTGCTGGGGAAGATATTAGGGAGGGAGAAGATTTGAGCTGGGGTGGGGGGATTGGGGAGGGAGAGGATTTGTGCTAGGAGGGGGGATTTTGGGAGGGATAGTATTTGTGCTGGGAGGGGGATTTGGGGAGGGAGACTGTTTGTGCTGGGAGAAGGGAATTTATGCTCAGATGCTCAAAGGGGAAATTTGAGGGGTAAAGGATTTGTGCTAGGAGGGTGGATTTTTTAGAGGGGAGAGGATTTGTGTTAGGGGGGATTTTGGGAGGGAGAGGATGTGAGCTGGAAGGGGTGGGGAGTAGGGAGGGAGTGGATTTGTGCTAGGAGGGGGGGATTTTGGGAGGAGAGTATTTGTGTTGGAGGGATTTTGGGAGGGAGAGTATTTGTGCTGGGAGGGGGGATTTGGGGAGGGAGAGTATTTGTGCTGGAGGGGATTTGGGGAGGGAGAGTATTTGTGCTGGGAGGGGGATTTGGGAAGGGAGAGTATTTGTGCTGGGAGGGGGGATTTGGGAAGGGAGAGTGTTTGTGCTGGGAGAGGGGAATTTATGCTCAGATGCTCAGAGGGGAAATTTGAGGGGTAAATGATTTGTGCTAGGAGGGTGGATTTTTAGAGGGGAGAGGATCTGTGTTAGGGGGGATTTTGAGAGGGAGAGGATGTGAGCTGGAAGGGCTTAGGGAGGGAGAGGATTTGTGCTAGGAGGGGGGGATATGGCGAAAGAGGATTTGTGTTAGGAGGGGGGATTTGGGGAGGGAGAGGATTTGTGCTGGGAAGAGGAAATTGGGAAGGGATAGGATTTGTGCTGGGGAAGATATTAGGGAGGGAGAAGATTTGAGCTGGGGTGGGGGGATTGGGGAGGGAGAGGATTTGTGCTAGGAGGGGGGATTTTGGGAGGGAGAGTATTTGTGCTGGGAGGGGAGACTGTTTGTGCTGGGAGAAGGGAATTTATGCTCAGATGCTCAAAGGGGAAATTTGAGGGGTAAAGGATTTGTGCTAGGAGGGTGGATTTTTAGAGGGGAGAGGATTTGTGTTAGGGGGGATTTTGGGAGGGAGAGGATGTGAGCTGGAAGGGGTGGGGGAGTTAGGGGAGGGAGAGGATTTGTGCTAGGAGGGGGGGATTTGGGGAGGGGGAGAGTATTTGTGTTGGAGGGATTTTGGGAGGGAGAGTATTTGTGCTGGGAGGGGGATTTGGGGAGGGAGAGTATTTGTGCTGGAGGGGATTTGGGGAGGGAGAGTATTTGTGCTGGGAGGGGGGATTTGGGAAGGGAGAGTATTTGTGCTGGGAGGGGGGATTTGGGAAGGGAGAGTGTTTGTGCTGGGAGAGGGGAATTTATGCTCAGATGCTCAGAGGGGAAATTTGAGGGGTAAAGGATTTGTGCTAGGAGGGTGGATTTTTAGAGGGGAGAGGAGGGAGGGAGGGTGAGGATTTGTGCTAGGAGGGGGGATTTGAAGAAAGAGGATTTGTGTTAGGAGGGGGGATTTGGGGAGGGAGAGAATTTGAGCTGGGGAAGAAATTAAGAAGGGAGTAAATTTGAGCTGGGGTGGGGGATTGGGGAGGGAGAGGATTTGTGCTAAGAGGGGGGATTGGGGAGAGAGAGAATTTGAGCTGGGAGAGGGGATTTGGGGTGGGAGAGTATTTGTGCGGGGGGGGGTGGATTTGGGAAGGGGAATTTGGGGAGGGAGAGAATTTTTGCTGGTGGAGGATTGGGGAGGGAGAGAATTTGAGCTGGGAGGGGGATTTGTACTGGAAAAGGGGGAATTTTGGGGAGAGCTTTGGCTTGAAAAGGGAATTTATGCTTCGGGAGTAGGTGTGAATTTTTTTGAGGGGATTGATTATTTTTTGCTGAACATAAGGGAGGGATTTTTTTGCTGATACATAATGCTCATACATGTTTGGGGGGGGGGGGGGGACAGGTGTTTGGCATCTTCATCCTGAGCTCTAGATGACCATGTCCCGGCACCGGCTACAATTCAAACTATTTGGGGCCAGTTTTCTTTTGATATTATAAAAATGATCCGGAGATTTCCATTACCGTTTACCACTTAATGAAAGCCCAATTAGTCCTGAAAAAGCCCTGCGATCTCCTCCACCCGGATACACACAGTAGTTGTGACGAAATGTACAATTTTACTAACACAGGTCAAAGCTGCTAATGCAGGCCATACACGGGTCAAATTCCAAACGATTTTCGTCCGAAAATCGAAAACCGTCGTTGGCTCGGTAATCCGATGGCGCCATTAATGATTTCGAAAATCTGCCGAATGAGTCATAAAGTTCCCCCCATATAACAGGCGAAACTTCTGTTCCTTCCAGGTCACGACTCATGCTCATATTCTTTTCGCAAAAACGATCAAAGTCAAAAATTGAATCAAAAATCGGTCCATCGTTTTTTCACGAATTTTCCAACATGCCCGATCACAGAAAAAGGGGAGGAACCACAAAAATCGGCCGCACCCACTTACAGAGTGAAAATCGGCCGATTATTCTTAGGTCTGATTTTCAGATGAGAGAAATCGGTCGAATTTCGACCCATGTATGGCCGGCCTAAGCCGTGATCAGGCACATGGATTTGTTTTACCTTCGTCACTAATGGGTTAAGCTTCATGCACTCAGCCACAAGAGGGCGCCCAGCGTGCAGAGAGTGTACATGGCCAGGGTGAGGGAGCCCCAGGGCGTATCGCACAACCTCCGACGGGTGCGTACAGCCCTGGATGCAGGCATTCTGGGGGCTATTTACCAAAACTGCACGGTGCAAAATCTGGTGCAGCTCTGCATAGAAACCAATCGGCTTCCAGGATTTATTGCCAAAGCTTAATTGAACAAGCTGAAGATAGAAGCTGATTGGCTCTCGTGCAAAGCTGCGCCAGATTCTGAGTGCTCCGGTTTTAGTAAATCCCCCCCTCTGTGTCTAAGGTTGTATGCCCATGCGCAGGTTTATGCAAGTAGCACCGTAATCAGGGGTGGACTGACAACTCATGGGGCCCCCAGGCAATAGGGGATCATGGGGCCCCTGTGTCCTTACCCAAAACTCAAAAAAGCCTATGAAAAAGGTACCAGGGGCAGCTCATGGGGCCCCTTACTGACCCCGGGCCCTAGGGCAGTGCCTGAGTTTCCAAATGGTCTGACCATTTCCCCTGACCGTAATCCATGTATAACCGTGTACAGCCATCAGCTGTGCGATACGCCTGCAGCCCCCTTATGCCGGCTATGTACTGTCTGTGCTCGCTGTTTGCCCTCTTGCATGAATCCATATGTCCTCAGTGTTGGTATGTTAGGGCCAATTACACTTCTGCTCTAACTTGGGCTCTCTCTGGGGGCACCAGGAGAAGAGGAGGAGCCAAGATGACTGATGGGGGACCCTAGAAGAGGAGGTTCAGGGTCGCTCTGTGCAAAACCATAGAACAGACCAGGCAAGTATAACATGCATATTATATTGAGGGGAAAAAAAAAAGATTTACAATCACTTTAGAATTGACTGAAATGTAAGGAAGACGAGATGCACTGCAGAGGCTTTTTTTTATTAGTTTCAAATGTGATAAAAGATTATTTACTGATGAATGATTGCCTGATTTATAAAACACACCTTGGCTGGGAAGATATTCTTGTTCATTCCCGGGTTCCAGCAAAATTCACCGACATCTCTTCTTCTATAGAAAATTACACTTTTCCATTTTATAACCTGTAAGATCCTCTATAGATACCTCCCCTGTATGGATCATCAATAGTTTCCTCCCCTGTATGGATCATCAACTAGATACCTCCCCTGTGTGGATCATCAATAGATATCTCCCCTGTATGGATCATCAATAGATATCTCCCCTGTATGGATCATCAATAGAAGATTCCTCCCCTGTATGGATCATCAATAGATTCCTCCCCTGTATGGATCATCAATAGATTCCTCCCCTGTATGGATCATCAATAGATACCTCCCCTGTATGGATCATCAATAGATTCCTCCCCTGTATGGATCATCAATAGATACCTCCCCTGTATGGATCATCAATAGATTCCTCCCCTGTATGGATCATCAATAGATATCTCCCCTGTATGGATCATCAATAGATATCCTCCCCTGTATGGATCATCAATAGATTCCTCCCCTGTATGGATCATCAATAGATTCCTCCCCTGTATGGATCCTCTAATAGATTCCTCCCATCCATGGATCATCAATAGATTCCTCCCCTGTATGGATCATCAATAGATACCTCCCCTGTATGGATCATCTATAGATCCCTCCCCTGTATGGATCCTCTATAGATTCCTCCATGGTATTCCCCTCCATTCTTCCCCTGTATGGAACCTCTATAGATTCCTCCCCTGTATGGATCCTCTATAGATTCCTCCCCTGTATAAATCCACTATAGATTCCTCTCCTATATGGAACCTCTATAGATCCTCCCCTGTATGGATCCTCTATAGATTCCTTCACCTGTATGGATCCTCTATAGATTCTTCTCCTGTATGGATCCTCAATAGATTCTTCCCCTGTATGGATCCTCTATAGAGTTCCTCCCCTCCATGGATCCTCTATATATACCTCTCCCTGTATGGATCATCAATAGATTCCTCCCCTGTATGGATCCTCTATAGATTCCTCCCCCTTATGGATCATCAAAAGATTCCTGCCATCCATGGATCCTCTATAGATTCCTCCCCTGTATGGATCATCAATAGATTCCAACCCTGCATGGATCCTTTATAGATTCCTACCCTGTATGGATCATCAATAGATTCCTCCCCTGTATGGATCTTCTATAGAGACTTCCCCTCCATGGATCCTCTATAGATTCTTCCCCGCCATGGATCCTCTATAGATTCCTCCCCTGTATGGATCCTCTATAGGTTCCTCCCCTGTATGGATCCTCTATAGATTCCTCCCCTGTATGGATCCTCTATAGATTCCTCCCCTGTATGGATCCTCTATAGATTCTTCCCTTCCATAGATCCTCTATAGATTCCTCCCCTGTATGGATCCTCTATAGATTCCTCCCCTGTATGGATCATCAATAGATTCCTCCCCTGTATGGATCCTTTATATATATTTCCCCTGTATGGATCCTTTATAGATTCCTCCCATCCATGGATCTTCTATAGATTCCTCCCCTGTATGGATCTTCTATAGATTCCTCCCCTGTATGGATCCTTTATAGATTCCTGCCATCCATGGATCCCCTATAGATTCCTCCCCTGTATGGCTCATCAATAGATTCCTCCCCTGTATGGATCCTCTATAGATTCTTCCCCTCCATGGATCCTCTATATATACTTCCCCTGTATGGATCCTCTATAGATTCCTCCCATCCATGGATCCTCTATAGATTCCTCCCCTGTATGGATCTTCACTAGATTCCTCCCATCCATGGATCCTCTATAGATTCCTCCCCCCCCTGTATGGATCATCAATAGATTCCTCCCCTGTATGGATTCTCTATAGATTCTTCCCCTCCATGGATCCTCTATAGATTGCTCCCATCCATGGATCCTCTATAGATTCCTCCCCTGTATGGATCCTCTATAGATTCCTCCCCTGTATGGATCATCAATAGATTCCTCCCCGTATGGATCAATAGATTCCTCCCCTGTATGGATCCTCTATAGATTCTTCCCTTCCATTGATCCTCTATAGATTCCTCCCATCCATGGATACTCAATAGATTCCTCCCCTGTATGGATCCTCTATAGATTCCTCCCCTGTATAGATCATCAATAGATGTCTCCCCTGTATGGATTTTCTATAGAGTCCTCCCCTCCATGGATCCTCTATATATATTTCCCCTGTATGGATCCTCTATAGATTCCTCCCATCCATGGATCCTCTATAGATTCGTCCCCTGTATGGCTCATCAATAGATTCCTCCCCGTATGGATCCTCTATAGATTCTTCCCCTCCCTATGGATCCTCTATATATACTTCCCCTGTATACATACCTCCTCTCTATAGGTCCTCTATAGCTACCTCCCCTCCATAGATCTTCTATAGATACCTCCCTTTTATAAATCCTCTACACATACCCTCTCCATGGATCCTCTACAGATACCTCCTGTCAGTAGGTCCTCTATAGATACCTCCTCTCCATATATCCTCTATAGATACCTCTCCTCCATAGATCCTCTATAGATACCTCTCCTCCGTAGATCATCTATAGATACCTCCCCTCCGTAGATCCTCTATAGATACCTCCCCTCTGTAGATCCTCTATAGATATCTACCCTCCATGTATCCTTTATAGATACCTCCCCTCCATAGATCCAATGTAGACACCTTTCCTCCGTTGATCCTCTACAGATACCTACCCTCCATGGATCCTTATAGATACCTCCCCTCCATAGATCCAATATAGATACCTCCCCTCTATAGATGCCTACCCTCTGTAGATCCTCTATAGATATCTACCCTCCATGGATCCTTTATAGTTTCCTCCCCTCCATAGATCCAATGTAGACACCTCCCCTCCGTAGATCCTCTATAGATACCTACCCTCCATGGATCCTTTATAGATACCTCCCCTCTATGGATCCTCTATAGATGCCTACCCTCCATTATTCCTCTTATCTTACCTCTCCTCCATAGATCCTTTATACATACCTCCTCTCTATAGGTCCTCTATAGCTACCTCCCCTCCATAGATCTTCTATAGATACCTCCCTTTTATAAATCCTCTACACATACCCTCTCCATGGATCCTCTACAGATACCTCCTGTCAGTAGGTCCTCTATAGATACCTCCCATCCGTAGATCCTCTATAGATACCTCCCCTCTGTAGATCCTCTATAGATATCTACCCTCCATGGATCCTTTATAGATACCTCCCCCTACATAGATCCAATGTAGACACCTTTCCTCCGTAGATCCTCTATAGATACCTCCCCTCCATGGATCCTTTATAGATACCTCCCCTCTATAGATCCTCTATAGATGCCTACCCTCTGTAGATCCTCTATAGATATCTACCCTCCATGGATCCTTTATAGATACCTCCCCTCCATAGATCCAATTTAGACACCTTCCCTCCGTAGATCCTCTATAGATGCCTACCCTCTGTAGATCCTCTAGATATCTACCCTCCATGGATCCTTTATAGATACCTCCCCTCTATAGATCCTCTACAGATGCCTACCCTCCATTATTCCTCTTATCCTACCTCTCCACCATAGATCCTTTATACATACCTCCTCTCCTCCATAGATCCTTTTCCTCTACTTACCTCTCCTCCATAGAGATCCTTTATACATACCTCTCCTCCATAGATCCTTTATACATACCTCCACTCCATAGTTACTTCACTTCCACCGGCAGTGATCGTAGAAAAAAAAAAAAAAAAACCTGACAGGCTGGTTGTACTGATGTGGATCGATAGATTGACTTCAGTACAACAAGCCTGCCCAAAGATGGATCAAAAATGTGATCGACCTATGGCCGACTTTAGTAACCCAAATCAGGAAAGCAGCCTAGGGTGACAACATCGCTCCTCTATAGATACAGTACATTAAGCGTTGTCACCCAAGGACAAGAATTGTGTTACTGGCAGGAAAGGGGAAAAAAAAAAAAAGCCTAGAAAAGAAAACGAATGCAGCCATCACATCTAAGGACTGGTAAGCTGCAAAAGAATACATTTTTGTTCTTGGGTTTGGATACGCTTTTACATTTTTTTAAACACTGATACGTTGTATTTATTTTTGTCTGTTGGTTGAACTCGATGGACAGATCTCCTTCTAACTATATATATGAGAAACTTGGGGACTCAAAAGTTGTCCAATAAAAATTCATCATTTTTAGGACCCAGAATATTCATTTTGAAAGGAATTCTATTTTTTCCTGTGTTGTACACAGAATACTTTGAACATTTGGTCTCCATTGTGTAATGGGTGATTACATGGCGCTCACTAATGGAAACCTGTTATTTTCTGGCTATATCTGAGTCTGTGTAATTAAAGACATGTTAATGGTACCTCTAGAACATAGCATATAATTCAGTCTGATTTCCTCCAGGTGGGATTTAAATGTCATGGAGAAGTTTAAAAACTAAAACGTCTTGTCAAGCAGTGATGCCCCCAATCCTGGTGTCAAACCAGAAAACAAAACGAATGTGCGCAGCGCTAGTACCTCCTAAGGTATAAGTGTGCAAAGTCCAAAATGATATATAACCAATAGTATATGCCATATATATCGCTCCAGTATCCAAACGCTCCACTGCTGGCTGTCACATCTGAGCCGGCAGGCGTGATGACGTCACTCCGCAAACTCCACCCACACGCGTTACGTCCCAGTGGTTGGAGACTTCATCAGAGGGTCTATTTATTATAGTGTACTTTTGTGTGCATATTTAACCACCTCCCGCCCGTCATTGGACTTTATGGCGGGCGGGAGGTGGTTAAATATGCACACAAAAGTACACTATAATAAATAGACCCTCTGATGAAGTCTCCAACCACTGGGACGTAACGCGTATAGGTGGAGTTTGCGGAGTGACGTCATCACGCCCGCCGGCTCAGATGGTGGTTCTCTTCTTCTGGGAGGATGTCATATGACGTCCTCCCAATCGAACTGTGCATGCGTGGCTCCCGGAGCGCGCAGCACGGCGATCGGCGGTGCACTGTGTCCCTCAGACACAGCGGATCACCGATCCACGGAAAGAGCCGAAGATGTCGGCTCGGTCATGTGATCAGCTGCGTCCAATCACAGCTGATCACATGTAAACAGGGTAATGCCGGTTATCGGCATTTCTCTCCTCTCGAGCTGTCACGCTGAGGAGAGGCATTCATCAGAGGGGACATGTACACTGATCATCAGGGCACCGATGATCAGTGTGCCCTGATGGTCAGTGTGGCCCCAGAAGTGCCACCTGTCAGTGTCCATCAGTGCCAGCTGTCAGTGCTGAACAGCGCCACGTGCCAGTGCCCATCAGTGCCACATCAATGCCACATAGTGCCTACCAGTGCACATCAATGCCACATATCAGTGCCCTTCTGAGCTGCCTTTCAGTGTCACCCATCAGTGCCAGTCAGTGCCACCTATCAATGCCAATCAGTGCAACCTATCAGTGCCAGTCAGTGCCGCCTATCAGTGCCAGTCAGTGCCAGTCAGTGCCACCTAACAGTACCAGTCAGGGCCGCCTATCAGTGTGCATCAGTGCCACCTATCAGTGCCAGTCAGTGCCGCCTAACAGTGCCAGTCAGTTCCACCTATCAGTGTGCATCAGTGCCAGTCAGTGCCGCCTAACAGTGCCAGTCAGTGTCGCCTATCAGTGCCATATATCAGTGTCATGTATCAGTGCTGCCTTTCAGTGCCTATCAGTGATGCCTGTCAATGCCCATCAGTGCCACCTACCAGTGCCTCCTCATCAGTGCCCATCAGTGCCACCTATCAGTGTCCATCTCTGCAGCCTATCAGTGCCCATCACTGCAGCCTCATTAGCGCACATCAGTGAAGGATAAAAATCACTTATTTACAAAATTTTATAACAAAAACTAAGAAAAAAACTTTTTTTTTCAAAATTTTCAGCCGTTTTTGGTTTGTTTAAGAAAGATAAAAAACCCCAAGGTGATTAAATACCACCAAAATAAAGCTCTATCTGTCTCAAAAAAAAGATAAAAATTTCATATGGGTACAGTGTTGCATGACCGCGCAATTGTCATTCAAAGTGTGACAGCGCTGAGAGCTGGAAATTGGCCTGGGCAGGAAGGGGGTGGAAGTGCCCTGTAGGCAGGAAGGGGGTAGAAGTGCCCTGTGGGCAGGAAGGGGGTAGAAGTGCCCTGTAAGCAGGAAGGGTGTAGAAGTGCAGGTAGGCAGGAAGGGGGTAGAAGTGCCCGGTGGGCAGGAGGGGGTAGAAGTGCCCTGTAAGCAGGAAAGGGGGTAGAAGTGCCCGGGGGGCAGAAGGGGGTAGAAGTGTCCTGTAGGCAGGAAGGGGGTAGAAGTGCCCTGTAGCAGGAAGGGGGTAGAAGTGTCCCGTAGGCAGGAAGGGGGTAGAAGTGTCCCGGTAGGCAGGAAGGGGGTAGAAGTGCCCGGTAGGCAGGAAGGGGGTAGAAGTGTCCCTGTAGGCAGGAAGGGGGTAGAAGTGCCTGTAGGCAGGAAGGGGGTAGAAGTGCCCTGTAGGCAGGAAGGGGGTAGAAGTGCCCTGTAGGCAGGAAGGGGGTAGAAGTGCCCTGTAGGCAGGAAGGGGGTAGAAGTGTCCTGTAGGCAGGAAGGGGGTAGAAGTGTCCGGAAGGGGGTAGGTGTCAGGAGGCAGGAAGGGGGTAGAAGTGCCCTGTAGGCAGGAAGGGGGTAGAAGTGCCCGGTAGGCAGGAAGGGGGTAGAAGTGTCCAGTGGCAGGAAGGGGGTAGAAGTGCCCTGTAGGCAGGAAGGGGGTAGAAGTGCCCTGTAGGCAGGAAGGGGGTAGAAGTGCCCTGTAGGCAGGAAGGGGGTAGAAGTGCCCGGTAGGCAGGAAGGGGGTAGAAGTGCCCTGTAGGCAGGAAGGGGGTAGAAGTGCCCTGTAGGCAGGAAGGGGGTAGAAGTGCCAGGTAGGCAGGAAGGGGGTAGAAGTGCCCTGTAGGCAGGAAGGGGGTAGAAGTGCCCGGTAGGCGAGGGGTTAAATAAGTAACACCCACATGTGGCGCTGAGCCTTCATGACTGAAAAAAACTGAAATCCTATGAATGAAAGGGGACAAGCCCTGGGGCTGGGAAGAAAGCGCTAGATGATGATGCTGGGCATCCTCCCGCCAGGAATTTAATTGGGCTCTGACTGGCTGCAGCTTCTAATGCACGTTGTGAGAAGCTCCCAGTGTGCAGGGAAATCAGAGTAAGCCATTTCAGTGCAGGAGATGAGCCGCTACAGCTGTGCAAGTCCGAAGGGATGTCCGGAGGTCAGATTTAACCTTTATGCTGCCCAACACATTTTTTTTACAGATATACAGATGTTTGGGCTCCGGTGGGAATCTGGATGCCAAAAATAGCAGGAAGTTGGACATGGGAGGAAATCCAAACATTTAATAAGCATGTACAGAACCATCATCATCGGGAAAAACAGCCTTTCAAGACGCGGCGAAGGGCGCGGACGCAGCAATACATATTCAAATGATTAGAAAGATTAGAGGAGACGCGGCTGTTCAGTCTCCTATATGGAGACCTGGATGTGAATCATCATGACATGATAGGGCTCCATGTTAATCAACAATAATTAGAACTGTTCATTTCCAGACTTTGCCTTTGGACTGCAAAAAAAAAAATTCTAGCAGGCTCCCTATTACATTTGTTTTTAAGAGAAATACAATCAGCTCTGCAACTTTTAATAAAATAATCCCTGGTGATCCTGCCATGGAGGTCCTTGTTCAGGTACTTCCTGTTATAGGGTGACAACACTCTGTCCCTGTCTCCTAATTGTCCTGCTGTGTTGTCACATGCTCCCCCTCTGGTTGTGACTTGAAGTGAGTGTGCTGGACAGCGCCTCTGATAGGGGGTAACAGCAGTCCTCCTGTATGGGGCCCAAGCTAGATAGTTGGGGGGGGTCAGCAGTATGGGAAGGAGAGGGGGTGATTGGTGAAAGCAGGGGGAATTTAGAGGAATTAACCCGCCTCACTGATCACCTTCCCTGTCTAGGATTCGGTTACCCCTGCTGCCCGCTAATTATTATTACTATTATACAGGATTTAGATTATTATTATTTATTATACAGGATTTATATTATTATTATTATAATAATACAGGATTTATATTATTATTATTATTATTATTATACAGGATTTATATTATTTATTATTATACAGGATTTATATTATTATTATTATAATAATACAGGATTTATATTATTATTATTATAATAATACAGGATTTATATTATTATTATTATTATACAGGATTTATATTATTGTTATTATTATTATACAGGATTTAGATTATTATTATTATACAGGATTTATATTATTATTATACAGGATTTAGATTATTATTATTATTATAAGGATTTATATTATTATTATACAGGATTTATATTATTATTATTACACAGGATTTAGATTATTATTATTATTATACAGGATTTATATTATTATTATTATTATTATAATAATACAGGATTTATATTATTATTATTATTATTATTATACAGGATTTATATTATTATTATTATTATACAGGATTTAGATTATTATTATAATAATACAGGATTTATATTATTATTATTATTATATACAGGATTTATATTATTATTATTATTATACAGGATTTTTTATTATTATATTTTATATTATTATTATTACACAGGATTTAGATTATTATTATTATTATACAGGATTTATATTATTATTATTGTTATTATACAGGATTTATATTATTATTATTATACAGGATTTATATTATTATTATTATACAGGATTTATATTATTATTATATTATACAGGATTTATATTATTATTATTATTATACAGGATTTATATTATTATTATTATTATACAGGATTTATATTTATTTGTTTTTAAGAGAAATACAATCAACTCTTCAGCTCTTAATAAAATAATCCCTGGTGATCCTGCCATGGAGGTCCTTGTTCAGGCACTTCCTGTTATAGGGTGACAACGCTCTGTTCTTGTCTCCTAATTGTCCTGCTGTGTTGTCACATGCTCCCACTCTGGTTGTGACTTGAAGTGAGTGTGCTGGACAGTGCCTCTGATAAGGGGGTAACAGCAGTCCTCCTGTATGGGGCCCAATCTAGATAGCTGGGGGGGGGGGGGGTCCCGGCAGTATGGGAAGGAGAGGGGGTGATCGGTAAAGCAGGGGGGAATTTAGAGGAATTGATCCCCTGGGTGTCCCTCCCGACAGCAGCTAAAAACTGCCTTCCCTTCCAACAGCTTTCAACTGCTGCAGGGAGAAACACACCGGGGATAGGTCCCTGTAATTGCCCCCCCACCTCACTGATCACCTTCCCTGTCCAGAATTCGGTTCCCCCTGCTGCCCGCTAATTATTATTACTATTATACAGGATTTATATTAATATTATTATTATACAGGATTTATATTATTATTATAATAATACAGGATTTATATTATTATTTTTATTATACAGGATATATATTATTATTATTAATATTATTATTACTATTATACAGGATTTATATTATTATTATTATAATACAGGATTTATATTATTATTATACAGGATTTATATTATTATTATTATTATTATATAGGATTTATATTTATTATTATTACTACACAGGATTTATATTATTATTATTATACAGGATTTATATACATTATTATTATTATACAGGATTTATATAGCACCAACAGTTTGCTCAGCACTTTACAATATAACGGGAGACAATACAGCAACAATACAGTTCAATACAAGAGGGTTAGGAGGGCCCTGATCCCGGGAGCTTACAATCTAAGAGCCCGCTAATAATGATTTTAGTGTATTCTTAACGAAAATATTTATTATTTATTTCAGGTACTTATATAGCGCCGTCAATGTACACAGAACTTTACATATATATTGTACATTCACATCAGTCCCCGTCCCCCGAGAAGCGTACAATCTAAGTTCCCTAACTCACATTCATACATACACATACTAAGGACAATTTAGACAGGAGCCAATTCAATTCAATTCACCTACCAGCATGTCTTTGAAGTGTGGGAGGAAACCGGAGTACCTGGAGGAAACTCACGCAGGCACAGGGAGAACATGCAAACTCCAGGCAGGTGGTGCCGTGGCTGGGATTCGAACCAATGACCCGAGTACTGCCAGGGGGAAGTGCTAACCAATTAGCCACTGTGCTGCCGATGAAATATCATCTCCTAGACTGAAAGCTCCAAGGAGCAGGGCCCTCGAACCCCTCGTGTATTGTATTGTTACTGTATTGTCTCATGTACTGCCCCCCACTATAATGTACAGCGCTGAGCAAATTTTTTGGCGCTATATAAATACTGTATAATAATAATTTTCGGGGGGGCTGTCAGATCGGCTGTACAGGGCCCCGTGGTTTCTAACAGTGCTGGATGGATTGTTTCCATAAATAAAACATTCATTAGACGAATGTCAGGAGCATTCATGCAGCCCAGACCAAATGTCCCCCTATTGTTTGTAATAGAATAATTCCTGTATCGTCAGCTCCATCTAGTGGCCAAAATATGTTTTTTTTTTTTTTCATTCTTCAATTTTTTAAATACACTAGTACAGTATGTCAGTTCTCGACTC